GGGGGGGTCTCACTATGTTGCCCAGGTTGGCCTTGAACCTCTGTCCTCAAGCAATTCTCCCACCTCAGCCTCCCAAAGTGCTAGGATTACAGACGTGAGCCACCGCGCCCTGCCAATTTCCACATTTTGGATGTTCCTGAAGTAGTCAAGCTCTGCGGCAATAGGACAAACAAAGCCTCTTCTTTTCCACATAAGAAAACAACAGATGGGGCCTCGGCCTCCAAGGCCTCCAGGCTCAGCCTCTCTGCCTCCTCAGACCTCCCATCCTCCTGCCTCCCTGACTTCAGAGACCCAGGGTGACCAGTGGGCTTGGTGTGGTAGCTCTGAATCCTTCTCATGCCTCTTACTTACAGAGTGGTCTCCCGAAGGCTATGTCCTCATCTGAAAAATAGGGAGACAGCTAGGCGTGGTGGCTCACACCTGTAATGCTACTGTCCCTGAAGTCAAGGAGAGCACACAGGATTAGAAAGCCCGTTAGACAAACACAGCTGCGCAAACTGCACACGGAAGAGAATTCGGACTGCTCCGTTTTCAGGCATAATGTGCAAACCCTGCGTTTCAGAAGAGGGTCCTCCCGGCTCTGAAACACAAGCCAGTGAATAGCCACACACGTAAAGGAAGGCTGCCCCAGCAAAGCAGGCTCCCAATTACCTCTTTCAGAGTGGGGCCCTGCAGGGGGTGCTTTTCTCTGTGCTTGCTTGGTCGCTTAAAGAGAAAAATCCACAAAAGCTTCGTTATCATCAGGCTTCAAAGGGGCCTTAATGAGTCCTTCACGTGGCAGGTGCCTACAGCCAGCCCAGCAGCGGCCCTATTCTGAAACAAGGTCGAGGGGGCTGAGGGGAGAGGGTCTCCCTACCTGCAGGCAGCCACCGAAGAGCAGGTAAGACCCAAAGGGAAATGCATGACCTTGTTTCAGGTCGTTACAAAGTGCGAGTCCCCTGTAATCCCGGCACTTTGGGAGGCTGAGGTGGGAGGATCACTTGAGGTGAGGAGTTCAAAACCAACCTGGCCAACATGGTGAAACCTTATCTTTACTAAAAATACAAAAATTAGCTGGGTGTGGTGACCCATGCCTGTAGTCCCAGCTACTTGGGAGGCTGAGGCAGAGAATTGCTTGAACCTGGGAAGCAGAGGTTGCAGTGAGCCAAGATTGTGCCACTGCACTCCATCCAGCCTGGGCGACACAGTAAGACTCCGTCTCAGAAAAACAACAACAACAGAAAACAAAGTGTGAGTCAAGTGGCCCAATGTTAAGTGAAAAAACAAAAAACAAACAAAAAAAAAACCCAGCAGGATCCCAACCCTACTTAAAATCCCGTGAAAGTTCTGAGAATTATCTCTAGATCGTATACATATGAGAAAGACAGGCCAGAAAACACGAGGCGAAAAGATAAAACCAACAAACCTTAGTGGACAGCCACCTTGCGGGGGCCACTGGGCTGCAGCACGTGTGCATGAAATGCCACTGCAGAGACACAGCAGGTGGCAGGCAGGCTCTGGGTAGCCCCCTCAGGCCAGGAGAAGCAGAGTCGCCAAGATCCAGGCCGGGCTTTGGCCACAGCCCACAGCAAGAGCCCCAGCTGCCTGCACCACCGAGGAGCCAGTGCAAGTCAGACTCTGCACCCCACATGGTGCAGAGTCTAACCCAGTGCCCGGAACACTTCACCTGGGCAGTGGGAGAGGGAAGCACCTTGGGCAGGTTGTCCCTAATCCCAAGAGGACGATTTTTTTTTTTTTTTGGAGACAAGTCTTGCTCTTGTCGCCCAGGCTGGAGGAGTGCAATGGTGTGATCTTGGTTCACTGCAACCTCCTCCTCCCGGGGGTTCAAGTGATTCTCCTGCCTCACCCTCCTGAGTAGCTGGGATTACAGGTGCCTACCACCACACCTGGCTAATTTTTTTGTATTTTCAATAGAGACAGAGTTTTGCCATATTGGTCAGGCTGGTCTCGAACTCTTGATCTCAGGTGATCTGCTCACCTCAGCCTCCTAAAGTGCTGGGATTATAGGCATAAGCCATCACACCTGGCTATGACTGTTCTTAATAGCACCCCTGGCTGCAAAGTATCTTGATGGTTGCCTTACTGGGTATTCCAAACCGAATGAGTTTTACTCACAGGAGCCCAGGGCAATGGGCCCAGCCTGTGACTGATCAGCTAAGACCCTCAGGGTTTGCAGTAGACTCCTAAGGTCCCCAGCAAGTTAAGCTGCCCAGAGGTTGAGCCCTGAGTGACGTCACCCATTGTGACCCATCCAGGCTGCTGCTCTGTCTCCAGAGACATTTATCTCCAGAGTCTCATGTGGGGACTGAAACACGCCATGCGGGGGCTGCCTCTCTGGAACCCTGAACTTGGGACCAGAGAGATTCCAAGAGCTGGTACTTAGTAGTCATGTGACCGCGTTTTCCTGGGGCTTAAAATGAGCTGGTTAGACTCAGTCAAGCAAACTCTACGAGGCTCCATTTCTTTCTTTCCGTCTTTTCCTTTTTCTGTATTTTTATCATTCTGCAGAATCAGCCTCAATTTATTCATTGATAACAAGTAAGGATTCAGGCTGGGCATGGTGGCTCACGCCTGTAATCCCAGCACTTTGGGAAGCCGAAGTGGGTGGACACCTGATGTCAGGAGTTTGAGACCAGCCTGGCCAACATGGTGAAACTCCTTCTCTACTACAAATAGAAAAAACTAGCCGAGTGTGGTGGCGGGCGCCTGTAATCCCAGCTACTAGGGAGGCTGAAGTAGGAGAATCTCTTGAACTTGGGAGGCAGAGGCTGCAGTGAAGTGAGTCGAGATCACACCACTGTACTCCAGCCTGGGTAACAAAAGTGAAACTCTATCTCAAAAAAAAAAAAAAAAAAAAAAGTAGGGATTCAACATCTGCCTCAGAAATCAAAAGGACTGAGAAGGAAATGAAGACTCCAGTGCTTAGTAAACTGCAGGGTGCTGACCAGCTGCCGGGGCTGTTCATTCTCAATGGCCTAAAATGAGGGCTGTACCTACTAAGAGCGTCCGCTTCCTCTAAGATTCAAGAGAACACTCTTCTTACCAGAGCTGGGTGGTGTCTTTGGGGCGGGCGGGCTTTTTGCTGGAATCCTGGTGGCGTTGGCCTGGCCCTTCTGGCCTGGAGGGGCTGTTCCCCGGGGTGTGGCTATCTTCGTTTTACCATCAGCCCCCTGTAAATGAAACATGGTCGAGGGGTTTTTCACCACTGGGAAAAGTTACTGCCGCCAAGAGTCAACAGCAGCCCCACTCCGCCACCTTGACTCAAAGCGTGGCTAAGACTGGGGTGACCCTTTGCCTCCTAGATGCCACAGATGTCTTCTACAATCACAAGGGCTTGCTGGGCACACAAACCCACCTCCCCATCCAAACTGCAAGTCCCCTGAGGACACTTCCTCCCAGAGGAACTGTGAGCATTAGTTATCAGCATGAGTTGTCCCCAGGCCAGCAGAGCTTACAGCAACGATCGGGTCACTCTCCACTCACGTCAGTCACTCATAGTGCAGGACATTAGTGCACTATGGATATGCAACATCCATTTTCTAACGCTTATTATGGATTTAACTGATGGTGGCTGATTGCAGCAGAGGCCCTTGAAGACACTGTTGAACCTGACCAAGCATGCTAAAGAGAGCTAGGCCACGTTCTTTCATTCTCTCCCAAACAACCCTAAGGCCCCAGGAACTCCTTGGGTGTGCTCAGAGAAGGTGAGCACCGAGGAGGTGAATGCCAGCATCACTGACAAGGCTGCCAGAGAGAGCAACAGGTGCTGGCGTGGCACAATCTACAGACTGAGGGCAGTCCCTGAGTTCGGCTACCCAGCAGATGATCCTTAGACATAACACAAACTCAGAAAGGAACCGACATTAACCAAGGACCACAAGCTGGTCCAGGGGGGAGCAAGCTCGTGGGGCAGGTGTTACTGTGCCATGATGCTGGCCTACCCAGATCGGGGCAATCTGGAAGCATTTCTGCTTACTAAAATCAGGAAGGGGCAAAGGAACCCAATGACAGTAGCAATTTTGATTTTGATTTTTGAGACAGGGTCTTGCTGGGTTCAAGTGATACTTGTGCCTCCACCTCCCGAGTAGCTGGGATTACAGGTGTGCACTACCACGCCTGGTTAATTTTTGTATTTTTAGTAGAGACAGGGTTTCGTCATGGTGGCCAGGCTGGTCTCAAACTTCTGACTTCAGGTGATCCACCTGCCTCGGCCTCCCAAGGAACTAGGATTACTGGCGTGAGCCACCGCGCCCAGCCTTAGAGTAGTGATTTTGAAACCAAGGTCCCGCTAGGTGTCTTAGGGGCTGCTGCTATGAGGGCCTGTGAGGTGCTGAGAGGTATGGCCTTGAGCTCTCTTTTCCCCTTTGTCCAGAATTCTAACTATTCCAGAATGGAAGTTCTAGTATGTCAGAGCTCATTTGAAGAAAGGTCTTTGAAGCTAAAAAAAAAAAAACCAAACCAAACAAACAAAAAACCCACATTTGCAAACCACAGCAGAGCAGCCTGGTTCTTTTCAAAGGTGGTTTCCTTACCTTGAATTTCATCTCCTTTGCTCCAGAACTGCCAGTTCGGGGAGTGACAGAAGAGACGCATTTAGGAGAGGAAGGTGGCTCTGGGCACACGGCAGGGCTGGAGGGTTGGATCAGAGGGTCTGAGCTACCAGGAGTGGGGTGTTTGGGGCTAAGGCAAGGCCTATTTTTCAAGGTTTTAGCAGAGGAACGTGTGGATGTCTTAAACATAAACATAAATAAAACCAAAATAAAAGTCAGCGCATGGAGGAGGAAAACAAACTGAAAAAAGGACAGTAACTAAAAATAAGTAAGGCAGGTAATGGTTGAAAGCAGTGATCTCCAGGCTATTTTCATCGTGTATCCTTAACATCCCTTCTGATTAGTAAGAACGGGAAAGTGATCGTCCTCCCCAGTCATAGTTCTATATGACGGACTTACTCAACTCACATCTGAGAGCTTTCAGAAGAGGACATGAAAAATGAAAGGAAGTTCTAGTATGTTCTTTCTCCAGCCCGTTAGATGTTATTGTGCCCCTGAATTTGGAGACCACTGGTTTAAAGATGCTTCACATGAATGAGCTGATGAAGATCATCAAGGTACATGAATCTCAGGATGTTACTCAAGAAAATGTCCCCAAGTGTGTCATGGGTCCGAAGCGTCCCACTTTCTACTCAATTCCAGGCAAGGCGCTTTTTTGTCTGCCCATTAACCCATGGCTTCTTCCACCACACTGACAGGCTCATACAGCTACAATTAGGAGTACGCCCGCCCCAAGTTGGAAAGATTCTATCTGACATCACTTAGGGTATACCCAACCCCACCACATATGCTTTCTGATTAAAGTCTCAAACTAATATTAACACTACCAGGTGAATCCTAATCTGGCCAATATTAACTTTTTTTGGTTTGTTTGTTTTAGAGACAGGGTCTCCCTCTGCCGCTCTGGCTGGAGTGCAGTGGTGCCATCATGGCTCACTGCAGCCTCCACCTTTTAGGCTCAAGTGATCCTCCCACCTCTGCCTGGCCAATTAAAAAAAATCTTTTTTAAGAGACGAGGGTCTCGCTATGCTGCCCCGGCTGGTCTACAACTCTTGGGCTTGGGAGATGCTCCCACCTTAGCCTCCCAAAGTGCTGGGATTACAGGCATGAGCCACTGTGCCAAGCCTTCAGTCTTAACTCTTTTTCTTTTTTTCAGTTTGTCAGTGTAAACAACAATGCTAACTTTTGAACCCGTTCCACATGAAGATGCACCGGGGTGGGTGTCTGCATGCCTATCTCTGTGGAGAGGGAGGGGCCCTTGGGATGCAAGAGAGATGGTGACTGATGGCCACAGTTCGTCCTGCCCCGGGGGGATTTTGACGGGTGGGCATGGCCCTGGAGGAGAAGGGGGTGTTGGGAGTGGAAAAGGTCACACTCTCAGGACATAAAGTGGGGAGGCTAAGCCTCGAGGTGTTTCTGAGAGTGACTCGGAGCTCAGAGAAGGGTCCTGACCCAGACTTCACTGGCCCTCTTAGGGGTGTTATCTTATCACTTTCCAATTCCCCAGTGAAGTGGCTGAGGCCCTCTGTGTGGCCAGGCTTGGTGAGGAGGAGAATCCATGAGATGGGGCAGAAATGGAAGAGGAGGGACACAGGTGGGGGCCCCAGGACTGATGACAAGAAGGCAAAGCTGGGGTGGGGATACTGACGACCACTCCTTCCCTCACTGCCCACCTGTCCAAGGTCCGTCATAGACCTTTCCCTCCCTAGACTCTGAGCAACTCCAGGACAGGGATGTTGTACCCATGTGTACTGAATGAATGAATGAATGAATGCAAGCATGCATGAGGCTGGTATCCCCTGCCCCCTGGTCCCAGCACTAAATGTGCACCAGGATTGACAAGCAGCTGTCACTATCACTTCAGAGACCCAGGGCAGCTCTCCAAATCCCCGCAGGGCTGTTTGCTGCCTCACTAGGCAAGGATGGGGAGCCCTGACTCTGCAGGCACTTCTGGAAGCAGCCCGCAACACACCAACACACCACCGAATGCCCAGAGCTACACGGCAACTGGAGATGCCCTAGGGGCTCCAGTACTGATTAAAAATCAGATGTTTCAGACAGAATTTATGTTGGAAATTTTAGAAACCTTTAAGAAAAATAGGTCTTATCTAGCGTCATGGTGGGATTTTCCAGGAAAAATGCCACTGTGCAATTACGGGAGCATTTCCCCAGACACCAAGTCATTGAGGGAGTAAGTGATGGGTGAAGTGCAATGCTGAGGACGGGCAAGGATCTGGGTGCAGTTTATGCAGTGAGCGGAAGGCTTCATTCACTGTCCTGGGGATGGTTTTCAAACACACCTTCATTCACTGTCCTGGGGATGGTTTTCAAACACACCTTCATTCACTGTCCTGGGCTGGTTTTCAAACACACCTTCATTCACTGTCCTGGGTTGGTTTTCAAACACACCGTCATTCACTGTCCTGGGGCTGGTTTTCAAACACACCTTCATTCACTGTCCTGGGTTGGTTTTCAAACACACCTTCATTCACTGTCCTGGGGCTGGTTTTCAAACACACCTTCATTTACTGTCCTGGGGTTGGTTTTCAAACACACCTTCATTTACTATCAGGGTCTCACTGAAACTATGCTAAGGAAGCTGCAATCAGGAGCATGAGTTCATGAACCTGCCAACTGCTCTTCGCTGGGGTAAGCATCAAAACGAGTAAATGCTGGACTGTTTAAAAGCCTGCACAAAAATACAAAGCACTTTAAATGACAGCTGTACTTTAGTGACAAATGCTCCCCACATTATACATGAGAATGAGCTGGGACATAAAGCACAGCTTCTCTGTAAACGTGACCAGCTGCAGAGCTCCGTGGCGTCATCAGCTTACCTTGGCTTTTTTGTCATCGCCTCCGGTCCCGTCTTTGCTTTTACTGACCATGCGAGCTGATAAAATAGAAAATGAGAATGCTTGTCACCCTCCCTTTTCACTGTTCACAGAAAGAGCCAGCTGTGGTGAAGTTGGATTTCTCCAGGTAGGTCCACGTTTTGTTGAGTTGGGTCTGGGGGAAGCCTAGGCGGTTCTCTTTCCCCTTGAATCTGCTAGGTCTCATATTGTTAGTATCAACACAGCAGACTGGGGTCATCAATTAGAGCAACCTGGCAAGAGGGGGAAGCAGGTTGGCTGAGGGTGGGGCCATGCAGAAGGGATGCAGCACAAACTGTCACGGGGACACGCTGGCACAGAGGCTATCTAAAGAGGGTGCAGACTCCCTAACCCACTGGCTTCCCAACCTGCAGGCTCCTGCTCTGTTTCTGCCAGGGTCAGCCTTACCCCACTGGGGCCAGCCCCACTCCATGGATAGGTGTTTTAAAAGCCTCAGGGCCATGGATGTTGGTAGCTCAGTGAGGATCCAGCCTCCTGTGAGATCCAAGGATGGGGGATGGGTGAGTGGTCTCTACCTGCAGCCTGCCTTGGCCTTGGTTCCCTTCGAGGTGCCTGCTCACCCTCTTGGCCTTGGAGACTGCCTGGAGCCACCCTGGCCTCCCCTGCCCATGTGGCCAGATTGCCAGCAGTCCTGATGCCCACCTTCCTGGCCATCTTAGCTGACCACCCCATCCCCATCCCCATTCCTGGTCACCTGCCCGCAGAATAGGAGAGCCTGGCAGGGATGTCTTTATCCCCTAGTTGCTGGTTGGACCCCCAGAGCCCACCCCTCACTACTGGGGGCTTCAGCCACCAGCCCAGCTGCTCTCAGAGGGGCAAGCCCAGCCCTGAGCCAGGCCTGGGGGTTTCTTGCCACTTGCAGGCCTTCAAAGGGCACGAATCCTCACTGCTTCCCCCAGTTAGCTACAAACCAGCTACCATCATACATTCCCACAGACAACATCAGCTTTCATCACGCTCCTTGGTGAAACTAGTCCACTGACCTGTCAGCCAGCATCAGCACTGACTCACGCTTCTTCTCCTGACAGTCACTGCTGAAAACTGATGAGAGATTTTCTTTGGTTTCGATATCATGCTCCCCCTGCCCCATGGACAATCGGGTCTCTGGGAGCTTCTCATTATTGTCACCTGGATTTCTAGAGGACCAGCAATGAGTACGCCCAGAGGTTTTCCAACTATACCATGTGGCCGAAGCACTGCTAACAGACTCCCAGGCTTACCCCACAACTGCGTTCATAAGCCTGAAGTGGCACCCAGGAACCTGCACTTTAATAGGAGCCTGAGGCGGAGCTGACCCACGTGTTCTTTCCTTTGCTCACATCAACCAGCACCATCCATGGCACAACAAAATCATCTGCTAGATTGGCATTTCCCAAGCTGTGGAAGCACTAAACAAGTCTTCTTCCAGGAAATGTTAGTAGAAAGAATCAAGTAAGTTAGGGAAGCCCACTCTGTGACCTTCTCAGAGGGCCACAATGTCCATTAGCACATTAAAGGCTCTGACAAGTCCTGCAGCAGAAAAACCTATTTAACTCAGTCTGTTTTTTTTCCCCCCAATCACTGGGACATGGAACTTTTTTTTTTTTTTTTTTTTTTTAAACCCAGACATACCTATAAACCTCCAGTAGACCAGTATTCAAGAAAACATCATTTCGGGAAATACTGTAGTAACCTGTCCAGTCAGTCATTTATCCCCGACTGTTTTGGACTTTAAAATAAGACATAGGATTTTTTTCTGTCTTAACTTTATTTTTTGAGATGGAGTCTTACTCTGTCACCTAGGCTGGGTGCAGTGGTGTGATCTTGGCTCACTGTAACCTCTGCCTCCCAGTTCAAGCATTTCTCCTGCTTCAGCCTCCCCAATAGTGGGGACTACAGGTGCGTGCCACCACACCCAGCTAATTATTTGTATTTTTAGTAGAGACAGGGTCTCACCATGTTGGCCAGGCTGCTCTCAAATTCCTAACCTCAAGTGATCCACCTGCCTCAGCCTCCCAAAGTGCTGAGATTACAGGTGTGAGCCACCGTGCCCAGCCTGTCTTAACTTTTAAACACAGGCTTCTTTATAGTATTTCAAAGTTTTCTCTAAAAGTAAAATCTAATAAGAATGTAATGGATGCTTGCAGCTGTAAGCTTCAGTATCATCCATTTCTGGGCTCTGCAAATAACTGAAATGCTAAGGGTCCCAAATGTATGAACAAGCCCACCTTGTGGCTATGAGGCCTCCTGTGGGACACCATCTCTCCTCTCCCCGATACTTGGGAATCTCACCCCACCAATCCCACCCTGCAGGGCTGCTGTGGTCGAGTTCCCAAGGGCTCAAGATGGGCCCCGCTCAGCAACTCCCCCCCACCCCCACCAATGGCAGCAGGAAGATCCCCTCGTCCTCTGCTGAGGGAGGCAGAGTGGCGGCATGTGGACCAGGAAGATCTTGTCTCTGCTCCTTGTCTTCCTGCCACAAGGCAGAGCGGGTGGGGGCAGGGTGCTGGGCCAAAGGCACAGTGTGGGCTCTGGGCCTCCTCTGGAGGCTGTGTGTCGCCTACTGTGTGTGCCCTGAGTATCTCTGCATTAGGAGTCCACACGCTCCTGCACCTCCTCGGAGGTGCTGTGGGATGTGAGAGGGGCATGTCTTTTAGAGCCCACCTACCTGGATCCCCAACCTGGCTCTGTCACTTACTACTCAGTGGCCTTCCGCAAGTCACTATACTTCTCTGAGCCTCCGTTTCCTCATCTGCAAAGTGGGGCTACTTACGCCTATGTGGGAGAGTTGGAGAGTTCTAGACAATGAGAGGGCAGCTGTTATCCTCTTGGTGGAGGGCGCCTGCCAACCTCCTGGGGGCTCATGGGCCGTAGTGGACAAATCAAGTGGCCAGAGTCGAACAAGGTGGGGCACATGGGGCAGGGGTGCCGGTGACATGCAGAGTGGCGGGCAAGCGTGAGGGGCGCGTGTGGCCGCAGCCTGGGCGGGAGGAGGCCAGGGGAGGATAGCAGCTGTGCCCAGGTGTCGGTTTAGTGGCATCCTAGGAACGCTGGAAGCAGCAGGAGTCAGGAGGGCCGGAAGCTCAGTGGCAGTGCCCGCAGCCTGGGAGGCCCAGGAGGTCCCCAGGGAAGGAGCGAGGAAGCTCAAGACACAGACCTTTGAGTTGAGGGACCCGACTGACGGGCTTCCCCTGCGGAGCAGCGGCAGGCTGCTTTTTAGACGGCTCTGGAAGGTCAGCCTCTTTTGTGTCCTCTCCCAAAGAGGGTCCCCGGGCCTCTGCCCCGTCTCCAGGGGCCCCTGGAAATGCAGCCCTTTCCGAATCCTGCTCCGAGCATGCCTGCTCCTTCTGCATGTTGGCTGTGATTTCCACGTGGAACATGAACTCGGGGGGCGTGTCCTGCCCTTCGGCCAGCCCTGCACTGGGCCCGTCAGGCTCTGAGGCCGGGGTCTCTGCAGAAACTTTGGAGAGGAAATCGACTGGGTGGGGGATGGCGCCTTCTGCTGGGAAGCCTGGGACACCGGTGGCTTCTCTGGTGAATGTCTGGGGAGGTGGCCCATCTTGGGCTGGGGAGACCTGGGAGGGAGGGGAGTCCTGTGGGGAGGACTCGTCGACGTCGCGGTCTTCATCCATTTCCTTCTCGCCCCCCGGCCTCTCTTTGCTCCCGGCCCCCTTCAGTGGCAGCTCCTCTGGGTGCAGGTCTCCCAGAAGCTGGCGCTTCAGCAGCTCAGGGGCACAGCGGCCGCCCTTTGTGTCCTCAGGTCCTGTCCCCAAAGGCTGGTGTGTGGCCTCTCTGGGGTTCTCAGGCAGGAAGGGAGCCCCAGGCATGCCGGACACGAGTTGGTGGCTCAGGCTTGGGGTGCCTGGCTCTCTGAGGAAGACTTCCTGGACCACCTTACCACTCTCAGGCTCCGTGTGGAGGTATGCAGGGGTGGCGGGCTTCGGAAAGGCTGGACCCTCCTCGGCCCAGTTCCTGCCTTTTGGTCCCCACTCCTGGGAGGGCTCCTGAGGGCCTCCTGTTGGAAGAGGTGCTGGGCAAACAGGATGGTACTGAGGAAGGCTCGAGGTCAGCGGGACGGGAGCTTCCGGCTCTTTCTTCCCCAGGCACGGCCCGGAGACGCCAGGGGCCTCTCCGCAGGGTCCAGGCTGGACATGAGCGCTAAGCTCATTGACTGGGGGCCTTTCAGGTGCCTTCCTCTGCTGGCCTGGAACTCTCAACTCCTCTGGTTTGAAGAGGCAGCGAGAGCAAAAGGTTAGCAGGGGCACATCAATTGCTTAAGAGAGGGAGCATCGTCCTGGACAAAATGACATTGAAAGGGCATCCCAGGCCCCCAACAAAGAGATAGGAGCATAGCTCTGGGCTCATCTCGCTGCCTTTGGTGCTGGGAATGACAGCTCTCCTGTTCTAGCTGCCACCAGCTTGCTGGGTGGCGCTGGGTGAGCCCCTGCCCTCTCTGGGACTCAGTCTCCTCATCTGTAAAGGGGGGTCTTAGACGTGGTGACCTCCGAGTCCCCTTCTGATGTGGGTGTTATTCCTCTGCCTGTGATGGGCTCCAGTTGGGCACAGAGCAATTGTCACACATCTGGAGCCAGCCTGGGCTTAACCACTGCAAAAGCAGGAGAGCTGTAGAAGCGCCTCCAACTTTCTAGAAAATTTGAGCCTCCCAAAGATTCTAGCCTCTAGATGGTACCTGGCTTGGGTGTAGCGAGACTCCCCTTTCCTCTCCCTGCCTTTCACTGTTCCCCCTGCCACCTTTTTTTTGATATATGGTCTCGCTTGTTCACCCAGGCGGGAGTGCAGTGGTGCAATCACAGCTCAGTGCAGCTTTAAACTCCGGGGATCAAACGATCATCCCGTGTCAGCCTCCCGAGTAGTTGGACCCACAGATGCACGCCACCACGTCTGGCTAATATTTTATTTCTGTAGAGACGGGGTCTCCTTATGTTGCTCAGGCTGGT